ACGGAAAAATAAACCAACTAAAATCACTGATGAATAATAATTTATCAGCACCATCATCAACAACAACAACAACAACGGCATCAGCAGCAACAATAACAACAACAACAACATCAACAACAACATCAACAACAACATCAAAAACAATAAAAATGACATCAACATCAAATTCCATCCTAACGACCATTCCTATTGAACGAATCCCATCCATTTCGACACTAACTCAAATCACAACAAACAGCTACACGCTCAACAATATACTAATTGTATTAAAAAACAACATAAAGAACCAAAACAACAACATAAACATAAGCAACAACAACACAAACATAAGTAACAACAACTACTACAATGACTTGAAAGGCACCCTAAACCTAAAGACAAACGCGACGACAGTACACACCTCCCACAACAACAACAGCAACAACAACAACGAAAACTACCATAACGATTATTACGTCACTTCAGATGACGTCACGAACCAGTCGATGCTGAAAATTTACACGGCGTTTTACGCTCTAGTCTTTGTCATTGGGACGATTGGTAATATCTCAGTTGTCTACGCACTAACTGCCTATCCACAACTCAAATCCGTGACGAATACTTACATTTTGAATTTGGCGGTATCCGACATTTTCTACTTGTTCGGTATACCGTTTCTACTCGACGTTGCTGTGAAGAGTGAGTGGGTGCATGCCGAGTTCTTCTGCAAGGTTGGTTGGTTGGTTGGTTGGTTGGTTGGTTTATAAAAGTAAATTTAGATTGTGAATATTGATTCTAAAACTCTCGGCTCTGTTTATAAAATCCTTTTGATGACGACGACGATGATGACGATGACAACAAAAATGATGATGACGACGATGATGACAATGATGATGATGATGAAAGAGAAAAAATCTCAGAAGAAAAAAATATATTACCTTTATTGAATTTTATAATTAGCAAACAAATTCGTAAAAAAAAGAGTTCAACCATAAGAAATTTTAATATGAATTTCGTTTGAAACGTTTAGCCCAAAAAACTTAAAATTTCATTAAAATGCATGAATTATGTTTTTAGATTTAAAAATTGTTACAAAAAAATTTTCAAATTTTAAAACTTGCGGGAATTTCTTTGATAAACAATTTTTTTTTTTGAAAATTTTTTAAAAAGGTTTTATAAATTTATCATAAAATGTAAAATTTTGCAACCCAGATAAATATTACATGTCAAGAATGAAAATCCACCTCATCAAACAAAAATTTTCTGGTTGCCAAAATATTTTTAAACAAAAAAAAACATATTTTATATCATAAACATAAATTTTAAAAATCCAACCTACAGTATGAAATCGTGTCCTTTGTCCTTCTTGATCTAGATACATTTCTGTGAAAAAAAATTTAAAAAAACAAAATTAATAAATAAAATAAACAATAGAAATAATAAAAATACTCTATAAAATAAACCAAATTAACAAGTGCTTTTACAGAACGTGACATTTGGAGAAAATCATAAATTGAAATCAATGCATTTATGCTATAAGGTACCAGTATTATCATATAGTATTATTATATAGTAGTAATATGAATTATTATTATACAAGTGTGTGTATGTGTGTGTGTGTTTACGTGCGTGCGTGCGTGCGTGTGTGTTTGTGTGTGTCTAATATAAATAATAAATACAGTGCAATTTTTTTAACATCAAAGCATCACATAAAGCACAATTATTCTCAAATTACATTTTCATATCCTCTGTAGATCTTAAAGAAAAATTTAGTTCATTTATTTTTTTAACAAAATTTGTGGCGTGCTAAGAATACATTTGAAAAATTAAGAAATCTATGTCATATCTTGATTATTGTTCACAGTTATAAGGCTAAGAATACATTTGCTTTTCAAGAAATCTGATGTCATATCTTGATTTATGTTCACAGTTATAAGGTTAACGCAAACTTAATCAAATAAACGAAATCTCATTTAGATACATGATACAAACGAACGGACGCATTTGAAGATGAGAGATGGTATTGAGGTAGACGACTTAACCGACCCACCATTACTCAAGTTACGTGGTATGTGGGTATAGGTGGAGATCACTTTGCAATCGAATCCAGTCACTGCCGCAACAGTAAGACCAAGCGCCTTTAACCATTGGACCACCTCGTTGCCAATTTTTATCACGATAATGGAAAACCTTAACGACTATATCGTTAAAATTTATAACAATGAAAATGAAAATTTGGAAGATAATGATTATATACCTTCTTGCGAATTTTCATAAATTTCACATGCCCGTCATAAACGCCATACAATTTGACGATAAATTCGAGGTTCGAATGCATTAAATTATTTTTACGACTCTACGAAGTTCTCAAGTACATCATCCATTGTGAAAACTGATGCAATATTAACCATACCATTGCTCTTCATTTATACAAATTTTACTTTTATTACTAATTATTGTTTAGTACTAGAGCTGTCATCACTACTACTTTACTAAAAAAAAGACTTTTCAAAATTACATTTTTTTCTAATTTTTGCATTTTGTAATCTCAATCAAAACTATTAACACCAACAGCAAAATGGTACACATAATTTATCCACAGTACTGAATACTAACATTCAGTAGAAACTATAGACAGAAACATTTAAACTAGAGTTACAATGTAGTGCATCTAACTACACTAAAGAAAGATTACTAGATTACTACTACCCATTACTGCTTGTGAAGAGGTATGAAGAATTTCTTTATAATCCTTTTAAAAACTAATCATTACCCGATAAATCATGGCAAATTACAGCATTGTAATATTTAAACCAGTAAACCAGTGCAATATTTGGGGATAATTCATCAGCTCAAACGACATCTATCATGCGGTCTTACTAAATATTTAATTTGTCATACAGTTACTGATCTTGAAAATCTAAAGACATTGTAAAGTTACTAGAAATAGAGAACAGAGATCATCAGAGATAACTTTAAAACTTAAACATCCAATGTTGTAAAGCTCGCCAAATTAAAGTGTAGACCACTATGCCAAGCAAACATTCAAAGTGAATACACTGAAATTACTACTGAATAGCAACACTAATCAATTATAACAACTTAACCTGTAAATACTAATAGAAGTTTACAATGTGAAATTTCCAAAGTTAGAAAACACGGTAAAGTGAATAATAATTAGTTAATTAGTGAACTAATTAGAATAATAATTAATTTACTATGGTTAACAAAGAACAAAGTTTAAACGAATTAACTAATAACTTTGGTAGGTTATGTATACAAGTAGCTGTAACCTAATAAATTATTCAACTTTCAAACTGGTCTTACGGAATTTCTCAAAACGCAATTTTAAGCTAGTTTCACCGATTTGTTCCAAATTTTGAGATGGCATTTCACGATTCAAACGCAGAGACGGACGAGCTGGAAAGATCATTGATCTGGGCCAAAATTAACAAATGTGGATACTCCCTAACTGCATACAGCACTAGAGATAACTGTGAGGAAAGGATTTTGTTACAGCTGGAAAGACTCGAAGATATCAAAATGGACGTTGACTTGTTAAGAGTGACGGGGATTGAAAGAATCGTGCAAAGGTTTAGATTTAGAAACGATTTTATTGGAATGACGGCTGCCGAACTCTATAACAAGTGGTGTTGGATGCTTTGGACTTATAAAGACAGTGAATCTGAAAATGATAACATTTCAACAGTTGATCAAGATGGCAAGAATGAACAAATTTTAACGCCAAACAATAAAATGGAGAAAGAGAAAATAAATAAAGTTGGCAAGAAAAAAGTGACGTTCAACGATGAAATTAAAATAAAGATTATAGAGTCGACAAATGATGAAAGAAAAAATAACAAAAGAAAATGGTATGACGACGGTTATAACGTAAATTCTGAAAATTGGGATGAGGAAGATTCAGAAGATGATGATGGACAACCTTCTCAAGATGACGAAACCAGTGCATTGAAGAAACCTCGATTGCAAGAGGATCAAGATATTAACAGGAATGCAACCATCTTCGCATCTCCTACAAGCTAGTCAACAACACTCCTTGACACATTTTTTAGTATTTCTAACAAAATCTACAGTCTACAATGGAAAGTGGCAAAGAAATGAAAATATTGAAACATTTAAACAAACGAAATGTTAAAAATTATCAAAAATCTTATTTGCTCTTGTTAGTAATAATGAAAAATTTTTACAGATCTTAAAAGATTTTAGTGATCCTATAAAATTGTTTCTGTGTATAGGCTTAAATCTAAACGTCTGCAAAAATGAAAAAAAATTAACAAACAAACCAAACGCGAAATAGAACGAGAGTCTTAGTCGAGATTTAGAAACAGCCTGGCTATGATTGCACAAGAAGAACTACCGAAAGAACTAGAGTAACAGTAGAGGTGAAGTTCGGTCATTTTGGCCTTTATGGCTGGAGACAACCGACAGAGAAAATAGAAAAGACCATAATATAAATGTAACTATATTGTATTATATTATATCAAATTGTATTTTTTATTTTATCTTTTTACAAACTTTTGAGGTGGATTTGTTGAGAGTGACGGAAATTGAAAGAATCGTGCAAAAATTTAGATTTAGAAACGATTCTATAGAAATGACGGCTTTCTATCTCTATTGTAGTGTTGGATGCTTTGGGCTCATAAAGACAGTGAACCTGAAAATTATAACGAATCAAGAGTTGATCAAGATGGAAAGGGTGAACAAATTTCAACGGAATGGAAAAAGAGAAAAATAAAGATGGCAAAACAAATGAGGTTCAACGATGAAATTAAAATAAAGATTATAGAGTCGAGAAATAATGAAACGAAAAATAACAAAAGAAAATGGTATGACGACGATTATGACGTAAATTCTGAAAATTGTGATGAGGAAGATTCAGAAGATGATGATGGACAACCTCTAGATGACAAAAACAGTGCAAGAAAGAAACCTCGATTTCTAGATGATCAAGAGATTAACGACAATGCAACCATCTCAGCGTCTTCTCTTAGTCATCAACACTTCTTGATACATTTTTTAGTATTTCTAACAAAATCTACAGTGTACAATGGAAAGTGGCAAAGAAATAAAAAATTGAAACATTGAAACAAACGAAATGTTGAAAATTAGATTTAAAAAACAAAGCCATTGTTTAATTTACTATAATCTAAAAATTATATTTTCATAAATGAAAAATGTTGATAAAACTAATAAAAATTTTTACAGATCTTAAAAGATTTTAGTGATCCTATAAAATTGTTTCTGTGTAAATCTAAACGTCTGGAAGTATCAACCATAATGGAAAAAAGTAAAAGGCGCGAAATGGAACGAGTAGTCGAGATTCGGAATACGTCGGGCTATCAATACGTAAGGGGAACTACAGAAAGAACTAGAATAAAAATAAAGGAGAAATTCAGAAACGATTGGTGACAGTCATTTTGGTCTTTATGGCTGGAGACAACCGACAGAGAAAATAGAACAAACCATAATATAAATGTAAATATATTGTATTATATTATATCATATTGTATTTTTTATTTTATCTTTTTACAAACTTTTGAGATTAGTTTTTACTGAAATAGTTAATTAAAAAACAAACCCATTATGTTATTTACTATAATCTAAAAATTATATTTCCATAAATAAAACAATTATTTTATAGTTCGCACACGATAAATTGAGTAGCTAGTAGTCAGCAGAAACCGTCGTATAGATAGGAACATTTTATTGC